CTGGGATGTTGTTAATAAGATTTTATTGCACTATCAACTTCAGGAATTTTTAAATTAAGCAATAAGAATTGGATGCCAATTATATTCTCACCTGGTTCATGAGTTGACCTTCTACTGCATGGCTGGGAATTTCCTGAGAAGCAGATGAAATCCTTGATTCCACTTTGTTGTGAGGTGGCTCCACAGAAAACACAGGAAAGAGAGGCCTGAGAAACCTGAACTCGCTGTTCAGGGACCCACCAGCTAAGCACACCTCATAGTTGTAAGCCCGGGAAAGGGATCCACCATCAGCATCTCCACTGTTCTCTGGGAAATTCGGTCCCACTGGGAAATTCAGGGGGGAGCTCTCTATGAACTTGCTCCTTTTATGAATCTTGATGGCAACAAACACCAACAGAGAAACCAGAAAAATACAGGAGATGACAGCCAAGCATATGACCAGATACATCGTCAGGGTACGGTCTTCTTTCTCCATAATTTCTTCCTTTGGGATATCTACCATTTTCATATATGGGTCAGAAAAGCCATCCACTAGAAGAATGCTTAGTGTTGCAGAGGTGGACTGGGGAGGGTGCCCATTATCTCTGACCCCAATAATAAGTTTCTGTTTGAAGGTGTCTCGTTTGTTAATTGGTCTCATGGTTTTCACTTCTCCGTTCTGGCCCCCCACACTGAACAGACCCGGCTCTGTGGCCTTCAGGAGCTCATAGGAAAGCCAAGAGTTCTGACCAGAATCTCTGTCCACTGCCACCACCTTAGTGACCAGGTAGCCAGCCTCAGCCCCCCTGGGAACCAGGTCATTGGACGGGGAAGTGCCATTCTGTAGGGGGTACAGGATGAATGGGACATTATCATTTTCATCCATGACAACAGCTCGGACCATAGCTTGGGAGCTCAGGGGAGGAGAACCGCTGTCCACAGCCCTCACAGTTACTTGGAAGTCTTTTATCTGCTCATAGTCCACTGATCGGATGGCATACAGATTCCCAGTTTCAGAGTTGATTGAGACATAAGAGGACACAGGTTGATCACTGACCTTCCCAGGCAAAAGAGAATAGGTCACTTTGGCATTTTGTGCTGTATCCAGGTCATCAGCACGTACCAGTCCTATTAAAAGACCTGGAATATTATTTTCTTGTATTTGGATTTCATATGTTGACTTCTCAAATAATGGAGCATTGTCATTGACATCTGAGATCTGAACATTAAGTATTCTTGTTGAAGTGAGCCTGGGAGAGCCCTGGTCTGTAGCTGTGATGGTGATGTTGTACTCAGAGGCTTTTTCTCTATCTAGGGACTGCTGAGTAACCAGCTGGTAATAGTTATTCACAGACACTTTTAACATGAAGGGCAAGTTTGCCTCTGTGGTACAAGAAGTTCTGCCATTTTCTCCTGAATCTCGATCTGTGACACGGAAGAGGGCCACCACTGTATCTGGGGGAGAATCTTCTGGTACGGGGCTCGTGAGGGACTTGAGAGTCACCTCCGGGGCATTGTCATTTCTGTCCTCAACCTCTACAATGACTTTGCAGTATGCCGAGAGCCCCCCTCCATCAGTGGCTCTGATGTTTATCTCATAGTTTCTGTTTTCTTCATAATCAATTATTCCAGCTACAGTTAGTTCTCCAGTGTATTTGTTTAATTTGAATGATCGAGCCACAGTATCCGGTAGCTGACTGAAAGAAAAAGTGACATCTCCGTAGGAACCCAAATCCCTATCAGTTGCATCCACTTCAGTTACAAGGGTATTTGGCAAGCAGTTTTCCATTAATTTTACCTTGTACACAGATTGATGAAACTGAGGTGCATTGTCATTAGCATCGAGAACATCAATAACAATTTTTGCTGTGCCAGTTTTCCTTGGACTTCCACCATCAACAGCTGACAAAATCAGGAAAAGTTGTGCTTCTTCTTCACGGTCTAACTGTTTCTGCAATATTAACTCCACGTATTTGCTACCATCACTGCGATTTTGCACATCCAGACTAAAATGGTCATTAGGACTTACTAAGTAATTCTGAATGGTGTTTTCTCCTTTGTCTCCATCTTCAGCACTCTCTAAGGGGATTTGGGTTTTTGTTGACGTGTGCTCAGATATTTCAAAAAGGTATTCCTTTTTAGAGAATTGGGGGGGATGATCATTCACGTCCTCTATTTCAACCTCGATTCTGTGCACTTGCAATGGGTTTTCCAGCACAATCTCTGAGAGTAAGATGCAAGAGTCTTTCTGACCACACAGAGCCTCTCGGTCTATTCTCTCCTGTACTATCACATTCCCAGAATTAGGGTCCAGCTGGAAATATTGCCTGGTTCCTTCAGAAACCAGCTGGGCCCTGCGAGCAGAGAGCTCCTTCACATCCACTTTCAAATCTTTTAGCACATTAGCCACCAGAGACCCACTTTTCTTTTCCTCGGGCACTGAATAGAGGAAGGACTCACATATTGCCCCACACATGCAGAGATAGATGAAACAAGACCAACCTTGTCCGTTGTTGGAATATATTTCCATTGTCTCAGCCTCCTTCAAGGAACATCTGATATAGTGGATGGTTCTTTGCAAAGCAGCTGCTGGAAGTGATTGTCTTTTATGTGATTCCAAGGTAAATCTTTCCTTTTCCTTTAGTCCTTTTGGAAATAGATACAGTAGCTGTTCAAAGATGTGTTTGCAGTGGAGGTCTGTTGCCGTTTTCTTTGAGATATCTTTGATGACTACAGATTTTCAGGAGAACAATTACTCCCTGAAAAGTGTTGTGTTGTACAATAGCACCACCTTGTGCTTGACTTAGAATATAACTCCCACAATCTTTACCAATTACTAAGCAACATAAAAAGATCTTATTGCATCTTCCATATGAAGATACTTGGACCATTTCCTCATTCATTGTGGATTCAAAAACATGTTAACCCAAATGAAGCACACATACAATGAAAAAAAATGCTCTGATTAATGGGAAGTAATATATTTATTTTATTTTGCTGTACTTCGTTTATGGCTGGCCTTCCTCTTCAATGGGGACCCATAGCAGTTTACATCATTCTCCTCTTTATCCTTACAACAATCCTATAAGGTAGACTAGGCTGAGAGAGTGACTGGCCCAAGGTCACCCAGCAAGCTTCCATTAGAGATTCGGGATCTGAACCCGGACCTCTCATACCCTAGTCTGACAGTCTTACCATTCCACCATAGTGGCCCTCATAACTAGTTCTTCTCTCTGTGTTATAAAGACAGCCTGGATTTGTACCTTTAAACAACTTCTACCTAGACATCTGAGATCTTGTCACAGGTTATGAGTTACACTTGGGTTGCAAGATTGTGGATTTCGAGTCTCATCTGGTTTGTAAGTTTCATATTACTGTCAAAGCAGGCTAACTATCTTCACAGTGCTCAGTTCCATCTGGATCTTGGTCAGGCTGGTCCAAGTAGCTTTCCTTTACAGTGTTGTTATTGTTGTTTTTTTCATTTGTGTGTGTGTGTTTACTCTCCTCAACTTGAAAAGTAGTTTCTTGTGGGTCACTGTGGGTGGCTCTTTTAAACAAAAATTAAGAAAACACCATTTTGGGTTCGATCTGTCTAGCACGTAACTGTCTCACAATTCTTCCAAGGAGTGAAGGACAGTATACATGATTCTCCCTTCCCCATTTCATTTTCACAACAACTCTGCGAGGAAGGGTAAATTGAGAGAGAATGGTCTAAGGTCACCCAACTAACATCTCTCCAGAACCATATCACTGTAAATATGCATGGGTCCCATGTAGTACATATCTAGTGGTGTGGAAGTACTATTAGTAACACAACTGTTCAAAGTGGCATCCCATGCCATGGCATCAACATGCCCTTCCCAGTATGACTAAGGCTTCAGGTGGATGGGGATCCAGCAACCCAACTCTAGCCTCAGGGTTTGCCCGCTTCCTCACCATGAAACTTCTGGCCATAGGCCTAAACCTGGCTGGCATATATTCTAGTCTCTAACACTTCAACTACTACACCAGACTGGCTCTTCTTTGGATCCTGTCCATTATATACAAATGTTCATTAAAAATAGTTATTTGAATAAACATCATAGTTCAGACTTCAGAAACCCTAATGGGCACAGCATTCTTCCATGATTACTGGAATCCAATAAACATCAAGTGGTGCAGAGTTTTGAAATGGCCCTCTCCTGCCTCCCCTTTCCTGCTGCAGTCCATGGACCCTCCTCAAATTCTGCCCCTGAGGGGCAGGGGACCTTCACAGGCAGGATGGTGGTAAACTATACTGAGGAACAAAACCAGGGAAAATGGCTCTCGCATCTATCTGTGAAGGAAGGGCACGCCCATCAACAGAAAATGATGGTATGATACAAAAGCCCATACTTTAACAATTATCATACAGAAATCCTAATAGCAAAAAAAGTTCACAGGTGAGATCCCTCAGCCTTTGTGACAGAAATATATCCTGTGTGTATATGGTACCATACACCTGGTCAGTAATGGTGACACAATTTCCCTTTGGTTTAGTCTAGTCACCACAGGAGATTTCTGTTTTCACATGACATATCTGATGGTTTCTATGTTTCCATGTACATTTGGCGTGCTGAGCTGGTAGCTTTCCACCTCAGGAATCCGCCTCAAGAATTCTGTGACTATTTCATGAGATCTTTTTAGCCTGTGCCAGGAAGATAGTCTAAGGCCCCGGTCACACGGGCAGGAAACTGCAGAGGAGAAGCGTGGCTGTTTGCCCTGGGGCAAACTACTGCACAGTTACGTGATCAGACCTCCTGTGGAGGTCCTGTGGAGGTACCGTGGAGGTTCCATGGCAAGGGAGAGGTGCCGATCACAGGACAAGCCGGCGCACAACGAAGAAGCGCACGCCGTGGCAAACTGTTTTTTATTTTTGTGTACATGACAAATGTGCATGCTCCGTTGGGTGCGCATGCGCATCCACAGAGACTTGGACAAAAAAAACCCACCTTATTTGCAAGGGGACATGGGCGGGCGCCGGATGCCACCGGAAACGCGATCAGACGCCCGCCCTTGCCCCGCAGTTTCCGGAAACTAGTACCTCCAAGGTACTAGTTTTTTGCCACGCAGTTTCGGCTGGAAGCCTCGGTTGTGCCACGGGAGTGCTACGCTTCCCAGATGTGCTGGTGAGATCGCGCCCGGAAACTCCGGCTGTTTTCCGTCTCACTTGTGTGGCTTCTGTTCCGTGTGACCGCAGCCTATATTCTACTCTCAGGTATAAGGCTTTTTGTACCTGCTGAATATGAAGTTTTGATTTGAGACCATCAGAAAAAATGAAGACTATCTAGCTATATAGGTCCCTGTGGCTCTCCTTTTAAGTGGTAGTGCTTCTGCAGCTTCTTTAGGTAATTTGCAATGACTGATGGGATGTGGAAACTCCAGAGCTCTGTGAGAAGGCAGAGGGAAAACACAACTGAAATGGAAATATATTTGGGGGGGGGAACTTTTACAACATGCAGTGCATATCATCATTTGCAGCATTCACCTTTAATGGTAGGAACTCCTGCCCGACATCCCAGTATAAGCCAGGAACGTGGTAGAAGAGGAGGAGGAGGAGGAGGAGGAGATTGGATTTATACCCTGCTCTTCACTCCCCAAAGGCGTCTCAGAGAAACTTACAAACTCCTTTCCCTTCCCCTCCCTACAACAGACACCCTGTGAGGTAGGTGGGGCTGAGAGAGCTCTGACAGAAACTGCTTTTTTCAGTAACAGCTGCGCCAGAACTATGGCTTGCCCAAGGTCATCCAGCAGGTGCAAGTGGAGGAGTGGGGAATAAAACCCGGTTCTCCCAGATTAGAATCCACACACTTAACCACTACACCAAACTGGCTCTGAATCATTGTAAGACCAGGCCCTTGTCTCACAGTGATGTGCTTGCTCACCTGAGGAGTAATCTACTACAGAAGTGTCACAAAGGATGCTGTAGAAATGAAGCAACTATCAGGAAATTTCTGTTTGATTTCTACTGAGCCCAGTGTGAAGTTTCACTTAACCTACAAGCCAAAGAGTAATTTATCTCTCAAAAGGTAGGACTCGTGTAAAAAAAGCATGCAAATCCTGTATGTTTGCATCCATGTATGAAAAACAATGTGATTTCTGAAAGCCACTTCCATACCCTGGCCAGGTTTTGTGGGAAGAAGCCTAATATAATATATCAATCCCAAAAGTGATGACTATCAAGCAACACAATTCAAAGCAAAACAGTGATCTTTTCTCACAATTCTGTGCACTTCCTCTTACCTTAATAACAGTTTGGGACATGAGGGACAGAAAAGAAATTATCAGTTTCTCCACTTCTTTCAAACCAAAGTGTGTCTAATGGTTGGGGGGGGGGTGTTGTTGATTGGTTAGTTGGTATCACAGTATGGAACAAGCATGATCAAACTTGTCAAGTTCAAGAAGCATATTGGTAGCATAATTGTATTCTAGTTGGAGGGGGGTTACCATCTGTTTTCCTCTTTTTTGTAGTTTTGTTTAACATTCCTTCACAGTCTGGGTTCTTCCTTTTGTTGTTATGATGATCATTATATTTCCAGGCTGGGTGTCTTCCTTTCAGGACTCCTACCAAGTAATTTTGAGGAGCTGCAGTGGCTCAAGTGGTTAAGACACTGAACTGCAGGCTGTGGAAGGTCAGTAGTTCAGCAGTTCGAGACCCGGGTGCCGCATGATAGAGTGAGCTCCCGTCTCTAGTTCCAGCTCCTGCCAACATAGCAGTTCGAAAGCAAGAAATTGCAAGTAGATAAATAGGTACCACTTCGGTGGGAAGGGAACAGCGTTCCGTGCGCTTTGGTGTTTAGTCATGCCGGCCACATGACCACGGAAACGTCTTCAGACAGCGCTGGCTCTTCGGCTTTGAAACGGAGATGAGTACCGCAATCCTAGAGTCGGACTCGACTGGCTTTCGAGCAAGGGAACCTTTACCTTTACCAAGTAATTTGCAATAGCGATGTTTCAAATGTTGATTAACTCAGAGGGTAGCCTTGTTGATCTGCAGTGAAACAGATTCCAGTCCGGTAGCATCTTACAGACCAACAAGAGTTTCAGGATACAGACTCTTGAGCATCAAAGCTCCCTTTGCCGGACACCAGTTGGAATGAAGATCTCTGAGTCCTTTTATTCCAGTCAGAAGGTGGGAGGAGGCTTGTAAAGGATGCAGAGGTACAATGCATGTTGTAATGACCTTGTTTAGAGCAGAGGGGAAATGCCTGGGGGCATAAAATTAGCATCTGTAGTGAGATAAGAATCCTGAGTCCCTATTCAGCCCTTGGGGGGTCCATAGTTCTGAACCTGTGAATTAACTCTAGTTCAGCAATCTTGCATTGTGAAGTTTCTTTCTTTGAGGACTGCCAGTCTTAGGTCAGCAATGGAATGACCAAGTCCTATGAGGGAAGGTTGAAGGAGCTGGGTATGCTTAGCCTGGAGAGGAGATAACTGAGAGGTGAGATGATAACCATCTTCAAGTACTTGAAGGGCTGTCATCTAGAGGATGGTGTGGAGTTTTTTTCTGTT